AAACTCTAAAAATTCATGAAACTGCTTCCACATTGACATGGAATTGGGGGCAATCTAAGTCTATGTCCCAAGCTATGGTCATTTAGAATGGCTTTAGAACAAACTAGCCCTCATTCCCTGTGAGATGAGAGCTATGGGCATTTTATTGACAATTATGAAGCCACAACGTGGAGCTCAGAGAATGATCCAGTCTTCCCTGGATGAGTCAGGTACCACCGGGTCCAGGCCATCTCTTAATTCTTCAGATGTATTAGTGGTAAGCTCTTTCCTGGGTTCTGGATCTCCCATGGCTTGGCTGATGGCTCATTTGTTTATTCCAAGATGGTTGATTAAGGACCTAATTTGATAGTTACCTATCAAACTATTTCATTTAAGGTCTCTAGCTTGTTTGCTTTGAAAGCATTTTAAGACATTTAGTTCAGTTTTGTTTGTTTGCTTTTTGGTCTCTAAAGGCAATCTGAGTTTTGTTTGTTTTTGTTTTTTTTTATTTTTTTGACACTTTGAAGGCATTTTGGTTTGCTTTGGCTCATTATCAATATCTTTGATATTCCTCAAACATCTAATTCTGCTTTTCCCCTGATGCTTCTCCTGTGACACTGCCAAGCCTTAGCTTGTGAGTGCCTGATCATAAAGACACCAATGAGGCACTTGTTCTCTCCCATCCAAGCATCAGGGGAAATACCCCACAACAGGCCTAATGGAGAACTGAACAAATAAACCCCAGTCTTAGGTCAGGAAGCACTTTAATGGCACTCCTATGGAAGACACATATAAGGGACTGACTGGTCACCAGTGTCTGGAACACACAGTTGTATAAACAGGCAACATAACCCTGAGGGCCAGTGGGAGAAGATGGTGATCTTAGGGCTGAAGCCGAGAAAGCTGGTCCTAGAAGTACACATATTCCCTAGCTAGCACAGACAAACAAATTTTCTTTTGCCTGAAGGGAATAAGAGATGGTTTATCTTGCAGCCATTCTGAGTGACTGTGGCCCAGAATTCCTTGTTCCAACATGGAAGGAGTTTTTTTAAGTTTTATAAGTTTTACAGGACACAGAGAGTCACAAGGCAAGTTTAAAATACATTGGTGGGTACATAACAAGGTGGATACAGCAAGATGCTATCTGGTGACATTCTTAGCTTTTAAGTTAATAAATTACAAAAGGTTTTGTCTATTATTCACCTTTGACACAGAGGTAGGCAAGGAATGGCTGTTCCAGGGCTAAAGCTAGCCTGGATTAGGTAATTAGTGTCTAGACCTGTAACATTCCAACTTCTCCATTGTACCATAGTTCTTATCAGCCAGTCAGTATCAGCAGACACAGCTGTCCAGGGGTTTTCATTCATAATTCTCTCTGTTGACCAAAGATCACATTCTGCACATGTGAGAACCACATGTTATTTATTAAATATTATAAGGTCCCTCGTAGCTAGGCAGGTTCATTCTTAGGATGTGATGTTGATGAGGCTGAGTAGGACAGGACAACTGTTTTCAGGAGAGGTGAATAGCTAGAAACTCCTGATCATATCAAAACTACTAGCCATCATGACCCAGATATGAATTATTTTTCTTGCACCCTCTTTATCTTACAAAATATTTACATGTGACACGGTTAACAGCAATCCTAGATTGAAACTTAAGAAGAACACAGTGTGGCCTAATGGAGTGAAGGTAACAGATGAAGGTACATGTTTAAAATAAGAAAATTTTGCCTAATTTAAAAACTAGATTGACCATATGCTTTCCCTGTATTTCAACTCTATGAGCTATCTCACTTGTATTTAGATGCTTAGAAATAGAACTTTGAAGGGAATCATTGTAGTGTAACCCCCTTACCTAATACAATACAAAAGCTGTTTAATTCATTTTTAAAATCCCAGCTAATCATTCTTGTATCTAAAATGTTTTAGATTTTAGATACAAGAAACATCAGAACCTATGGTATAAAAACATCAAGAATGTTATTTAGAAGTTTATGTCTTTTGTATAACTAGGATAAAAAAGGTTAACACAAATCTTTGGGTCTATCCAGTGCACGTGGGGACCACATGTTATTTATTAAATTAAGTAGAGTTCAAGTTTAATTAAAAAGCTATTTTTTGTTTTATACAGTATAGACAATATATTTTATATGTGTACACACACATACACTTACGGTGAAATCTCTTGACTCTTTTAAACACTAGTTTTGAATAAGGTAGGGGTTTACAGTAAGCAAAGAGTCATAACAAAAAGGCGTGATCAAATGGAAACATAATATCTTCATTTGTAGGTTCATGAAAACTGAGGTATTATTTTACTATTTAAAAATATGTCAGGTAGAAATATTAAATATTGTAGACAACTTTAAGATTGACTTGCAAAAGCCTTTTCCTGTTAGTTATTACTTTAACCATAAGAAACAATTTTGTTTGGAGAGTGATATCTATTTTGAATATTCTTATCTAATTGAATAGTGAGTGTAAAACTTGCTTTAGTGGAAAAGTATTTAAATCTGTGTATATAATTGGGTCTATTAGATAAACAAATAACACAAATATTATAAAGGACTTTTAACTATGATGACTACATTAAAAGTCACATAATCTTCATCTGAGGATAAAGAAAACCGGAAGGAAGAAAGTCATCATATCAAAGACTCCATTCTCATGAGCAGATCAGAGCTGTATCCAGGCACTTCTAATTTACCCCTAGAACAGGAAGCTCAAGGGGAGGAGCTTTCTCACATTATCTGAGAGACTTTCACATGAACTATGACTATTGAGTACATAGTAACTACACATCTCTCACTTTTTGTTTCTTAAATACTTTAGAAATTAGACTTTTAAAATTGTCTGTGATGTTTAAATTTATAAGTGATAAAAATAATACTAATCTTGGTCATAATGAAGTTATAGATGAAGAAATTATATCTCAGGCCACAGTCACTCAGAATGGACAGAGAATAAACTCTCTGATACCCTTGAAAATGTGAGCTGTGTTTTTTTTGGTCGACAGAGGAAATAAACTTCAACTGTCTGAATTGCCTCAAAAAAAATCAACAAGAGAAACAAAAATCCCCAACAAAAACTAAGAGTTCAGGGAAAATAAATCCTGTCTTTTTAGGTGTCTTTTTCACTTGCAAAACTGATTTCTCTTCACTGCAAAAACTTACAAAGATCTTTGATTATGCCATTTAGTAACGCATATCTAAAAAAATTGTATGTGTGTCCATTCTGGGATGCCAGAGGTTAGTATTAGGAGTCTTGCTCCACTGCTCTCCACCATATTCCCTTGCAATAGCGTACCCCACTGACTCTTGAGCTTAGTGGTGATCCTCCTGTTTCCAAATTTCTCTTCTAACAGTAATGTAATGTAATCCAGGGCTTGGAAATAAGTGATTAAGGGCGATTCAAGTGAATCTCTCCACAACTTCGTGTTATCAATGTCAATGTCAGTATAGGGCATTGCAGGCCCTTTGTGTGAGGTTCCCGGACTATTGCTAACATGGGATGCCTTTAACAGCCTACAGTGCTTAATAGTCTGGTTGAAATTAGGGTGGAGAAGGGCTACACTGATCTGAAAGCAGAGATGGAGGTTTTGAGGAGAAATGAGGTGATGTAAATTTATCTCTCAGCGGCTTACAAATGCTCATTCACTAAAAGTGAGCTCGAACCTTTGTATATCATGTCTGTTAGACTTTGGAGATGCCAAAAGGCACTGCGGACGATCTGGGAATATTAAAATGATTAGGACTACACCTTAAGCATAAACTGAATAAAGCAAATACATTAGTTCAGAAAAGATAGTAAACACCAAAAGTATGGCTGCAACTAGCAGCATTTCCCCCCCCCCCCCAAAGCCATGATAAAATAAGGTCTTGGGGGAGGAATCTAGGAACAGTAAATAAAGCAGATAAAAGTCAGGTAGCAGCAACACACTTCTCAAACAGTTGAGCATTTAATGTGTCATTCCAGTGAAGATATGACATAATCTCCTAAGAGATTTTAGTGGATCAAAGACAAGACAATGAAACAGGTAGCCAGTTGAGGACCTGGCCAAGTGTCATTTTGAGGTTTAGCCATCAGTGTGGACAAGCAGAATCTACACAGGGCACGAGAGAATGAGAGACCCAGGCTCTATATGCAAGTGTGTCATAATAGCTACTATGTGTGTGACCTTGTCTAAGTCCTAGAAACCAAGCTCGGTGGATGTTGTATCTTATAACGATGTTTCCAAAGAGGTCTAGCAACTTCCGGGCAGAGGGACAAGGGGTGTGCCTGGGTGGGTGGGCGTCTTGGTAGCTGACAGGGTGTCCAACTTCATGCCCTCTCCCCTTGCTGGCCAGACTCTATTCGTTCATCCACGGGGATGAACAGTTGGGAGTGCAGAGTGGGCAGAAAGGCGAGGACACGCATGCCACCCGCGCAGCACCGGGGCTCCGAGAGCCACCGCGAACGCCCGGGGACCCGCACCGCGGAGGTAGACGCGGTGCAAGCCTGGGCGGGCGAGAGCAAGTGACCGGGAATGGGAAACAGATGCCGCGCGCGCGGGGTGCTGCGAGCTGCCTAGCTACTGATTTGGGCGCCGCACCGAAGTCGCCCCACCCAAGCGCCTGCCCCAAGTTTCCCGGCCTATGTAATCCGGGTGCACCTTCCGCTTCTGGCCTCGCCATCCGCCAGACCTCAGAGCCCGTGAAAGGAGGAGGAGGGACGCCCCCAGCTGTTGGCCTCCAGCCCGGCCAACTCCCGCTCCCATTCTGGCGTCGGCCTTTTGTACCCGCCCCACGTGACCCGCCCAGCGGCTCTTCCCTCCTCGGCCGCCCCGCCCTCCGGCCCTTCCCGGCCACCAGCCTGCTCTTCCAGCTACCGGCTGCCCTCCTCCCGCGCCCCTCCGCCCCTCCCCTCCCTCCCGCGCAGGCTGTTCCAGCTCCCTCCCCAGGCAGCCGTTCCCTCGCGACGCTCCCCTCCCCCCGCGGCTGTTCCGCCGCCTGGCCTCCCCTCCCCCCAGTCGGAGCTCACTGTCTCCAAGATGGCGGCCGTGTCAGTTTGGGGCATCTCCGCGGTCCGGCCCGGGCCCCCGGGATCCCGGTTGTCTTCCCCCCAGGTAAGTAGCCGAGGGGCCGCCCCCGGTCGCTCCCAGCTGCCGAGCCCGAGGCTGAGCCGCCCCGTAGTCTCCTTCGGCGCCTCGCGGGGTCGGCGGGCTGCTGCAGGCCCCGTCGCGGCCTGCGCCGCCTCCCGCTGCTCTGCGCCAGGCCTCGGGCTGGGCGCCGCGGCCGCCCCCTCGCGTCCGACTCCGCGGCCCAGCCCGCGCCGCCCGCCCGCCCGGTCCGCGCCCACGGCTCGCCGCCCTCGCTCTGCCGGAGACCCACTCCGGGAGCCGGCGCTCACGGGTGGAGAGCGGCCAGGCCGCGGAGCCTGGGGCTGCTGTGCGGGCTCGCCCGCTCTCCCTCGGGGGCGCGCCCGCCGTCCGCCCGCCCGCCGCTCCCGGCGCCGGGCGCGCACTCCGGGCTGTGCCGAGTGCGCGGAGACCGGAGCCGGGCTGAGCCGAGCGGGGTGACAGCCTGGTGTGTGCCGTGGTGTGGAGCAGGCAGCACGTGTGGTGTTGTGTTTGTCGGACTGTCAGCCCCGGGCCGGGACGGGTGGCGGCGGGCTTGCCTGTCAAGAGCTCTGCCACTTTGGGCCGGACCTGCCCGACCTGTCAGGCTCCGTCACAGCCGGTGTCCCCTCGCTGCTCTCCTGAGCCGGCCCCTTGGAGCTGAGAGCTTGGAGCTGGGGACAGAGCTTACGGTGCTCTTAACTCCACGTGATTTCATTGTTAACTTACTCTTCGGGCTGTGTTTCCATAGAATGGGAACGGCGGAGCAGTCGGTTGACGAACTCCTAGGCTCTGCCGCTTCAAGTTTTTAAAGTTCCTTGGGCTTTAAATCGAAGGCGCGAAGATGTGTTTTGGGCTGGGAGATGGAGCGGGAAGGGCTCTTGGAGCCCGTTGGTCCTTCTTTCTAGCAGCTACTGGACTTTCTGAGAGTTAGGGTTCATTCAGATCTTTAGCGCCTTGGTTTCTGCAGACCTGGAGATTGGGGAAACTTCCGGCCGGAAAGACAAATGAGTGCCTGTCATTCATTCTTCCATCTGAAAAGCTCAACCACATAGGACGTTCCCAGCTTCTTAGATCCCAATTCTCGTTATTTTAAAGTTAATGTCTACATACAAAACTTTCCTGGAATAATAATCCTGTTATTTGGTCTCTTAAAACCTTCACCAAAATGAAGCATCCCCCCTTCCCTGGCTTTCTTTTAGTTAATTTTGAAGTAAACTTTGGCCCCAGGTGCTAATGTTTTGTTGTACCCTTTGCTTTCTTATCGGAGTTACAGTACTGTTTCTTCCCCAACAGGTATCAGTTTTCCTTTTGCTTTTAACATCACTATTAAGAATACTTTCTGGAGGACATGTCCTTCTTTTTTTCTAGCTGTACTTATATTGTGCATGTTCTCCAGAACAAGAGAAATTCAAAGTTAAATTAAGTTTTGGAGGGAAAAGTTTAGAATTCATTATTTTAGTGATTTAAAAAAAATGTGTATCTGCTGGATTCTTGACTCAGAAAAGTAGTGTATTTGTTTTTGTTTTATTGACTAGTGTTGACTCTGAGATAGTAATCTCAAAATCATATCTTTATCAGATTCACTTCTATAAACAGACAAAACTTATTTTCTGTACTATACATTACATATGCGTATTTAATCCCAGTGATTCTAGGCCTTATTTCTAGTTTATCTGTACATTGTTTATAAACACTTTGACAGTTGTTATTCCCTGCTAGTGCTAGTGAAATTCTTTAAGCACTTTCACATGAAGTTATTTTCTTTGTTTTTGTTTGCATTAATATCCTTATTTGACGCGTGAAACATGCTTATTTCCTTTGGTATATGAACTAGTCAAATGGTCTACAGTGGTTTTCTGCATATCTTATTGTTTGTGTTTTATCCACTGGAATTTTGGAAAATGATTCACTCTTGCTTTTATTGCAGGATTCTTTCTACTAATCCAGACACTTGTTGAAGTACTGAATAGTTTCTTGGGGAAAAATATGGAGGAAGAGTTGAACCCATAGACTGGTGAGCACAGATTTTGGAGGGTAAACTAGCACTCATCTGGTTAGTTATAGCTTAAGGTCATTCCTGGAATGTCTCATTTTATTTCCTCATTTTACTTTACCTACCCATATCTTTTTTTCCTTCTGTTTTTATTCCATTGGTTTCCAGTGATTGTTTTGGAATATTGATAGTACTGTATTTAAACTCTTTAAGAGTGCTTAAACACATTGGTTTAAGAAAAGACTAGGATGTTTCAATTGATAACTTATGTATAGAGTAGGGCTTGATAGAAAACTGACATTATTTTGTTTTTCAGGCTTAAGATGCTGGAAGCTGTGAATGAGATGTTTGGAGTAGGAGTACAAGAGTATATGTGCAGTAGAGACCAATGTGTGGTGCTATTGAGAAGTTTGAAGATACTTCAGAAAAAACAGTTGTTTTGATTTCTAAGGTAAAAGTAGGTTGCAGTTCTGTTTTGTGAAAGCAGGAAAGACTCAGGCCAGAAATCTTGTATGCTATGGTTAACTGGTTCCCACCCTCCGAGAATCTTGTTTTCCATGGTGTAAGACTTACTCAGCATCAGGATAAGGGGTAGAGACTCTATGGATATACGGAATCCCTCACCATGGTAAAACTCGCTAACCCGTTGTACACGGAATGGATTTTGGAGGCCATCAAAAAAGTAAAGAAGCAGAAACAGCGACCTTCAGAAGAAAGGATTTGCAATGCAGTGTCTTCATCCCATGGCTTGGATCGTAAAACTGTTTTAGAGCAGTTGGAGTTGAGTGTTAAAGATGGGACGATTTTAAAAGTCTCAAACAAAGGTCTCAATTCCTATAAAGATCCTGATAATCCTGGGCGAATAGCACTTCCTAAACCTCGAAACCATGGAAAATTGGATACTAAACAAAGTGTGGATTGGAATAAATTACTCAAACGGGCATTTGAGGGCTTGGCAGAATCTGGTGGCTCAACTTTGAAAAGTATTGAACGCTTTTTGAAAAGCCAGAAGGATGTGTGTGCTGCCTATGGAGGCAATGCTTCCTCTGGCTTTCACCAGCAGTTAAGATTGGCGATCAAGCGTGCCGTTGGCCATGGCAGACTCCTTAAAGATGGACCTCTCTACCGGCTCAACACTAAGGCAGCTAGTGCTGATGGGAAAGAGGGTTGTGAGTCCCTCTCTTGTTTACCTCCCGTGTCACTGCTTCCACACGAGAAAGATAAGGTAAGGAGCATCCACATCAGTGTTGATAGTGCACTTAAGTGGAGGATTCACCTTCACATTTCTAGGAAGATACATGGAAGGTCAAGGCTTGGGAAGCTTGTGAGTTTTAGCTGTGAAAAAATTGTTCTAGTACTTTAAAATCTTTGAAGTCTAAAATTCAGAATATTGAATGTTGACCTAACTACAAGAACATACTTAGCTTAACATGAAAACTTTTGATTATAGGTTCTTTGTTTTGTTTGTTTTTTTAATTTTTTTGAGTCAGGGTTTCTCGTGTGTAGTTTTGGAGCCTGTTCTGGAACTCGCTCTGTAGACCAGGGTGAATTATAGACTCTTAACAGTACCTTAATATTGCAACATAATGAACTTAGAAATGCTGGAGACTTGACTTTGCCTCACTCTGAGGAATTTTTCCTTTTTTTTTCCATTTTGTTTCAGGCTGTCATAGACAGGAATGAGACAGATTCTTATGATCCATAGTAGGGGATAGCAAATCAGTCACTCTTATTTCTGTGATTTTTTTTTTTTATAGCTTCCTATCATATGTTTTCTTTTTTTGAGAAAGGGGTTCTTGCTATAAAACCCAGGCCTTATCTTTTTGCCTATGCCGTCCAAGAAGTACTGGAATTACAGGTGTGTGCTACCACATCCAGTGTGGATTTGTATATGATGAAATCCTAAATGTTTTTATTTGTGACAGCCATAGTTATATGGGACAGCAATACAATATCCTGTATTATAAAAAGTTCTGGAGCATGTTGTACATACACATGTACCTTACTCTGTTTTGTACTATTGCTGTCAGTTTATGTACTTGAAGGTATATCTTAATAGTTAGTTTTGACCCCCCTGTGTAGAATATTTGGGGATGGGAAGAATTTTGTGTGTGACTACTTTTTGACATTGATAAAATGTCATATGTCAATATAAGGTACTCTGGACTATTATTTGTAGAGTGAGCTGGTAATTTGTTGTACACCTTAGTGTATATAGTGTGGAAGCTACTTCTGGTAGAAGATTTTTGTTGTTTAATTTTTGAAATGGTAATATAATTACAACATTTCTCCTTTCCCTTTACTTCCCCCAAACCTTCCCATATACTCTTCCCCAATCTTTAAATTCATGGCCTCCTTTTTCATTAATTGTTACTGTATACATTACATACACACACATATATGTATTTACACATATACATGACATACGTACATACATATATTCCTCATTATAACCTGTTCAGTCCTTAAGTGTTACTTTTATGTATGTTTTCATGGCTTACTGTTTGGCACTGGACAACCAATTGGTGTGCTCTTCCCTGGGGAAAGCCTCTTCTCTGATTCCTAGCTTCCCTTAGTTGCCTGCCTGTAGTTCTTTGTGTAGGCTTGAGGCCTTGAGGGCTTTTCACTGTCTAGTTTGGCATGCTCATTGGTGTCATCCTTGTTCAGTTTCATAGATGTATTCTTGGGACTGGAGTCCATAACTCTGCATTTTGATTGGTTATGGTTTTCTGTAGTAGTGTTTGGTTGTTGGAAAGAGAAGATTCTTTGAGGAGTGATGACTACACTTAACTGGTATCAAATTAATAGATTGTTGTTAGGGATTTAGTAAATTAGTGGTTTTAGTATGTTTCTTTTCCAATAGCCATTACTTCACTAGTACTGAGTAGTTAGATTTCTAGTACCAGGCATGGTGTCCCTCTTGTTGAGCAGGTGTTAAGTCCAGTTAGAAGCATGTGTGTCACTGTTGCATCCTGAAGGTTAGCATGCCTTGTTGGTCTTTGATGTGGTTCATAGCATCGTAGCTGGATAAGACTTGCTTGCCCCCCTCCTTTGGAAGCTTGTATGGTGCCTTCCGGTCCAGGAAAGCTGGTTCTCAGGGAGGGGGCCATTCAGGTCAGCTCCAGCTCAGGAGCCTCTGGGCCTGTGTCTGAAGTACAGGTGTCCTCAGCAGTAGGGACTTCCCTTCCACCTCTGGGTGGACAACCATTGGCAATAGCAATGGGTTACAGAGTCTCTTCTCTTCAACAGCCTTGACCAGCAACTCAAAAGAGGCTTCTCGTCATACTGCCCCCCCCCCATTGGTGTGGGATGAGGAGGGACTTGCTACATCAGGACACCTTACTATGTGAGGTAGCCCATCAGTCAAATGTGGTTTTGAGCTTCTTCAATTTGCTGATGTTTCTGAAAACCAGGTCCTGGTCTTGGTCAGAATTTCCTTCTGTTTGATGTGTTCAATGGCTGCCCGGGCCTTGTCTTCCAAAGTATTCCCAAACTCCTTCAGTTTTTTTGGTAAATTCTCAAATGCGCTGGACAAGTCAGGGGTTGCCTGGGCGGGTGCTGGGCCTTCGAAAGCCATGGCCAGGATCATAATCAAGACAGGAAGTGAGATGAAGAGCCTCATGGTGGCCAGAGGGGCACCCTGGATCTAAGAATCTGTCAGGAGTAAGTAGTGCAGGGGTGGGACCATCCTGCAGGGCGGTTGAGCAGGTTCTGTACTGGGTTTTTATTCTGTGGTCTTTGGCTGTTAGAGGGGGCACCAGCAATCCGGATGAGAAAAGTTCATTAAAACTATGTAAGTCCATATACATTAATACACAGAATTACATGTATTATAGTTTTTGTTTTGTGTGTATAAGTAGTTAATAGTATGAGTCTTTGTGGCTTTTACAGGCATTCTGACTGTAATTATTTATCCCCTCTCTCTTCCTGTATTCACCTCCCTTCCTTGTCCCTAAAGAGCCTACCTCCTTTGCCACTTTCCCTATCAGATAGATCACTTGTATCCTACTATTTCTTTTTACCCCCTCCCACTTCTGCGTTTACCTCCCTTTCTCTCTGTAAGGAGCCCCCTTATATTTTACTTTCATTTGTGTGTGTGTTCACAGAGGCCAGAAGAGGTGTCTGATCTAAAGGAGCTACAGTAATAGATGGTTGTGTGCTGCATCAAGTGGGTGCTGTGAACTGAGCTTGGGTCCTGTGGAAGAGCACCAAGAGTTCTTAATCTTTGAACTCTCTTTCTATGCTTCATTGTAGCTATTAATTACGAGTTTTTGTTTAACAATTAGAAAGTAACAGTATTTTTTTTGCGTGCGTGCATGGGTGTGTGCGTGCATGGGTGCGTGCATGCGTGTGTGTGTGTGTGTGTGTGTGTGTGTGTGTCTCTCTCTCTCTCTCTCTCAAATTGGGCTCAGCCTTGTAGAAATCCTCCTGCCTTATCTCTTTGTACTATGATTAGAGGCATGTGCCATCCCATGTCTAGCAGTGATATATTTTATTGGTGAATTATTTTTATTTTTGTAACATTTTATTTTATGAAATTATAATTGTACCAATTCCCTGTTCCCTTCCCTTCTTCAAACCCCTCCCATGCACCTCCTTAGTCTCTCAAATTTATAGGCTTTTCTTTAGTTGTTGTTACATATAGTTACATATATACATACATATGCTCAGTCTGTAATGTTACTGTATGTATATGATCTCAGGCTTGATACTGGAGAACCAGTTAGGGGGACTTTTCCCTGTAGAAGACCAATTCTCCCTCTTGGCATTCTTTACTTACCTACAGTTCTTCATTTAGACTTGAGGCCCCTCAAGCTCCCTCAAGCTTCCCTCTTCTATATTAGAACGTCCATGGTGTTTTCATACTTCAGGTCTTGTTTAGGCAGCCATGTTAATGAGACTTCATGGGTGTAGCCTCTCTGACATTTCTCGGAGACATGGTCTCACAGCAAACTTCCTGTTTCCTTGGCTCTTAAACATCTTTCCTCTTGCCCTTCTGAAATGCTCCCTCAGCCTTAGGTGCAGGCTTTGTGTTGTACATGAATTGGTTGGGACAAGCCTTTACGACTCTGTGCTTTGATCAGTTGTGTGTTTTCTAATGGCCTCTGTTACAAAGAGAAGTTTCTTTGATGAGGAGTGAGACTACACTTACCTGTGGATATGAGGATACATATTTAGACTATAGTTAGGGATTATGCTGATTTAGTAAAGTGATAATTGTAGAATCCCTCCAAGATAGATCCATGATTTCACTAACCCTGGGTAGTTGGCTAGGTTTCCAGTACCAGACATTATTTCCCTCTTGTTGAGCAGGTCTTAAATCTAACTAGAGAGTTGTTGGTTATTGATAAGATCTTCATACAACTACTTCATCCTTAGGGTTATTTTGCCATGCTCGCCATTGTTGTGGGCCACAGGGGTTATAGCTGGGTAGGCTTTCCTTCCTTAGAAGCTTCCTTAGAAGCTTCTGGTAAGATGAAGGCTAGTCCTCAGGAAGAAGGCTTCAGGTCAGATCCAGGTCCGGTGCTCTGGGTACAGTGACTGAAGTACATGGTTTCT